AAACATCCCCTATCAAGCTCTGGGCCCCTAACACATCCCTAAGCCCTGGCATATTGACACATACCCCTGAGGATCCAAAGCCATGGACCCCGAATCCCAAAGCGCCAGAATACCCAGGACTAATGGAAAAGAGAATGGAAACTACTATAATGGGGTTATCCTAAACCCTAAAACCTGGGAACCCATGCGCAACCCGCACAAGCATGCTTGGCAAGAAAGCATGTGAGGCAAAAGCCCGGCGGAAGCGTCCTTGGGGACAAAACACGGAGGATGCCTCTCGGCGGTGGAGCTTCTTAGGGTATAGGGTTTAGGGTATAGGGTGTAGGATACATTGGGGTAATATTAGGGTTCTATTGGGATAATCAAAAATAGAACTGCGGTTGTCCAGAACTCCAAATTCAAGGCTAGAGCAAGCCCGAAAGAGCTGAAACTTTAGCTGGTATGGCAGTTTCCTTTAATAGGGGGACCCCAATATACTCTAATCCTGATTATGGGGACCCTTCAAATGGTACCCCAAATTTTAGGAAAACCACATAAAGGTCCCAAACCCTTTCCGTGTTATTCTCCATTATGCCAATATAACCCATTGGGGTTACCCAAAGGGTATATGAGATGATGCCAAGGTGCCCCGGGGTTCTGCGGGCTCACGCGGGGGTTGGTATGAAACTTGGCGTGAGTGGCCAACGCCATGGCTGTGGCTTGGCTATTTTGGAAACTGGGATTATATAGGGGTACATAGGGTTCAGACTTTTGAGGTTTAGGGTATGTCCGACCCATCCTATCCCAGAGGGTCAGGGACATGATATATGGAGTATATGCTTAGGGCTCAAAGGCAGTATTGGGTACACTTGCATAGGGGTCAGAGGGTCCATGTAATTAGGTATACAGAGTATATACTTAGGGGGCTCAAAGGCGTTATCTGGGCAAATCTTGAAGAGAAAGCCCGCAAAAGTATGTCTGGCTTCCTGGGGTTCCTAGGAGCCAGAGTTTGAGAACACTCATATGGTAGTTTCCATGAATAGGGGGACCCCAATATAGATCCCAAGATATTATAACCTCATTATGCGGACCCCCAAAAAGGTAGCCCTAATTTGGGGAACACCCATATCATCTCGGATGTTGGCACTGTTTGCTACTTCGAGGTAATTGCGGTTCCAGGCCCCTGGTTTGTTCAAGTTTTTCTGCCAAAGAACCTGAGGAGTGCCTCACTCATACCTGCCTCAAGAGGAGGATTGACACCCTAATCATCTCATTGTCAACTGAAAGCCCGAAGCCCTATGTTGGGGGTATATAGGGATAATGGCTAAAATGGAAACTACTATATAGTATATTGGGGTTATATCTACCCTAAGTCCTAAACCCTTAACCCTAAATCCTAAGCCTAGTTTGGTGAGGTTTGTCAAGGAAGTCACTCTGAGCCAAACTGTGCCGAAGATGGACCATTTGAGCCTTGGTGGAATGTCGGCCTCCTGAGCCTATGGGAGGTCAGGGGTCAGGGATTTATGGTGTATATATTCGGGATATATATATATATATATGTATACATATTGGGGTTATATGGGGATTATATAGGGATAATGGAAAGAAAATGGAAACCACTGTTAGGGTTCAGGGTTGATTCTGGTTTAGGATTTAGGTCCTCAGGCTTAGGGTTCAGGATTTGCGTTTATAGCATCCCCCAACAAGCATGAAGCAGCACAAGGGGCCATACAAACTATCTGGGGGTGCCCTACAAATCTATGCAATAGTTGGGGGGTGCGGTGTGCAGGCGTGAGGTGAAACACACACCACCTCCCCGTACACAACCCCCCAAACAAGCATAAGCCCGGAACAACCTAAACTCAACTCCTATATAGCCCCCTTAAGTAGATAGAATATGGGGTATATATGGGGATTGTGTTAAAATATACCCAGAGCCATATTCTATCTACTTAAGGCAGGATTATACCCTGTGCCAAAGAAGGATGTGCTTCCTTCCCGGAGCTCTGGCACTTCAAGTTTTTCATGAGCGAAGCCCGAGCAACCAGAGGGATGAGGCTTGAACATTTGGGGTTGGTTTAGGGTTTAGGGTTATAGTCCCCCTTAAGTAGATAGAATAGGGCTTTGGGTATATTATAATAGGATCCCATATACACCCAAAAATTCTATCTACTTAAGGGGGACTACAGGGTTTAGGGGTACCCTTCTCTCTCACCAGCCCCCCCCCTTCTTGTTGACGAGTACGTGGTACCTTAACATTCTAAATCTGACCTACCCCTAAACCCTGCCTATTTGCCAGGTCGAGCTGCTGTTAGCCCACAAGCTCGCCGAGACCTGTGTCCACACGCTGCTGGGGCAGCAGCGGAGTCCTGCGGAACGCATGCGGAAGTTTGACTACCCGCCCTAAGCCCTACTGTAAGCCCTGAGAGTCCAAGTGCCCAAATATGGCTTTAGGTGCCCAAAAAGTTTGACGATTTGGGTACTTGGACTCTTGGGGTTGGAGGTTTAAAGTGTTGGACATCGGAGGCTACATGGGGATATGCAGGGAGTATGGTTGCTTCTGATACATGACCTTCCGCGTGCCCATTATCCTACTTTGTCAGCCTACTCTGCTCATGAGCCTCCAAGGTATTGGCGCACGGTCACAGACCTCGCACCCGAGATTACGCGATTCAACGCCCTAGGTTTGGTGGATGATCTTGGGTCAATGCACAACATCCTTCGTCCTGAGACGTGCTTCCGGCAAGCTTCTCCGTGATGGCTAGGAAGTTGATTGAGGAAGTGATGACCTAAACCCCAAAAGTATGCAAAACAAAAGCCCTAAACCTTGAATGATAGCCCAGAAGGCCATTATTTTACATACTTTTAGGGTCCAGGAAGAGATTCTTCTGGTCTTTGGTCCTCACCTGCGGGGCAGTTGGGACACAGTAACCCTAAACCCTAAATCCTAAACCCCAAGCCCTAAACGCTAAACCCTGAATCCTAAACCCCAAACCTTAAGC